CACTAAAAACCTAAGGCTACAGCCCATGGTTTTTCGCAAATTTTGAAAAAAATTGTTTTTCCACATATTTCGACACAAAGTTGCCTTTGGTGTGAGACTTTCAAAATGGACATCTTTTCATCAAAATTCCCAGTGGTTATTCCATAATCTGTTAACAAAATTTCGGCTAGCTTGTATTTTACTGTTATTGTTTTTATTTTTTCTTCGGTTATATTGTAAACAAAGTAGAACTTGAAAAATAAGATTATTCAAACAAAATCCCAACATCTAAAAGGCCATGATGTCTTCTTATCAAATACTCTCAACTGTCGGATTAATTTTACTCTGGGTTAGCGAAAGTTTAATTTTCTTATCTCTTCACGGGACATAATATTTTTCGTCAATTTTATAATGTCTCAATTTTAAGTTGTCCAACGAATTAAGCACTATCCGATATTTGTCTATCAATTTTGCTTCAAAAAACCACTTTTTTTTTTAAGTTAAGCACAAAGCTACACAATGGGCTATCTTTGCTCTGCCCACTACGGGTATGGAAATCCGGTTTCTAGCGTTGTAAGTCTGCAGACTTACCGCTATGCCACTGGAGGCGTTTTGAAGAAATCCATTTTAAAAGTCGAACATCAAGTGCATCTTTCTAGTCGTATGACAAGAGAAAACAGTTTTCACAATATTGTTCAAAATAGTAATTTCTAGAATAAAAAAATTTAACACTGAATAAAGTGTTTATTTTAATGTGAAATTGAGTGCGAAAATTAAAATTGTGTCTATTTCTTAAGTGTATAAAAATAATATATCGCTTCTAAAGCTAAAAAACAGCTATCTTTAATTCGGAATAGAAACAAGCTTAACAAGAGGGAACCTCGATAGCCGCGGTAGCATTAGAGTGAATTAATCTACGATACTTTTGCTTCCCCTTTTTATTGGCTATATTTTTTGTGCGCCAGCAATACCAAGTGTGGGGCGCACGTATACCAGATTTGATTTTATTACTCATCAGGATCTCTCAAACCTACCCTCAACTTGAATTTCTTTTAGGCAGGATTACAATAAACTTATCTACGAGACTTTGGACGTGGTTTGACCTCCCGAGTACAAAACTGTAATTAGATCTCAAATCGTTCAAGATATGGTAAGCCTTTACTCCACGGCTGAAAATAAGAAATAATTTTTGACACACGCAAAAATTGCATATTTTGTAGCAATATTGTGTGTAATTCTAAGAAAAACTAGAGGTTGAATAATTAGGGCATTCATGAAAAATATTGTTGCGTCATCGAGATCACGTGACTATTCTCACGCCCTCTACTTTCTAGAACTATCCTGTACTTTG